CCCTCGACAGTGCTTTGGCCAATGATGCCCTTTTAGGCAGATTTCAGCCAAATTGAGAGGGGATTCGAGTTTTAGAGAGATAGAACGATTCCTAGAGAGAGAAAGCGACGAACAAGAGTCTCCAAGTGCCCTAGATCGATCTTCAACACCATTGGAGCTTGGTTTGAGCTTGGAGAAGTGCCGATTCAACGTCCAGGAGCAGAAATCCATCTTCACAGTATGATTTCCGCATCTGATTCTGCTTTTGCTTCTCTCTCCATGGAGTAGTTCTCCCATTCATCTGGGTGTGGGAAACCCTAGATCTGTATGTTAGGTTTGATTGTATGAACCCAAGTATTGATTCTATGATATTGATTATATTCGATTGAGGTTTGAATGATTGAATGACTTGAATCCTGATCAAATTCCTGTTGTTTCTGCTTTAACCTAGAATGATAATATCTGCCTAGGTTGATAGAGTATCCTTAATCGAAGGTAGTGAATTGGTGACTTTAGTCGAGGAGCCAATTCACTATTTTGTACCGGTTTTACTCCGGTAGTGGAGGTTTTGTTCTTAGGGCCTCAATCTGTTTACTCCGGTGTAGGTTAGTCGCCAGCTAGAGACTCAGATTGAGAGGGTCTGAAGACCTTTAGTCGAGACTTCAGACTGATTAAGAACCTTCCGCAGTATAACTTTCATAGAAATTGGACTTGGTAATTACAATCCGGCTTAACTGCAGACTAGGGGGAACCATATTCGGGTGACCTCTCTTACCCTGAATACAAACGTTTAGTTGTTTTGCTTGCTTGTTAGTCTAGGCCTTCACTAAAGTTTCACTGCTAGATAATACGAATTCACTGAGTAGTCATCACATCTAGGACCCGGGTTGACATTGAAACCCAAACCCGCTATACTACGCTTTAGGAAGTGGTTACACTTGGCCATTTTCTAGGGTGACAGTAGAAGTGAGTCAGACAGACAACATGATTGAAATATTGAGACTCAAAGACATTCGTGACACTAGAAAAAAAGGCACAGTGAGCTGGAGAGAGGAGATAGTAACTCACATGGTTTGCCATGGGGTACTAGACATGATGACGTGTTGAAGTTCCTCGAAGCTGAACGTCACAGGCATCAAGATTCTTGGGCGGATGATGCACTCGATCACCGCGTCATAACGAAGCAACAAGATTTTTGGGTGTGAAGATTAACCCAATACCATGAATGTTGCGAGTCTCTAGGAGGCTCAGGACATCTCGTAGGCATTGCATGGATCACGTGCGTAGGGCGTGAAGAATTCAACCAAACTGTGAAGTGTGAAAGTGAAACAGAGCATTTTCGATCGACATCACGGTTTCACTGCAGAGGATATTGATGAACAAGAGGATATTGGAGGTGAATTGAAGCTATCAAACACCAAGGAAGCTTGATTCCATTTTCAAGACCATCCCAAACAACCAAGGAAGAGGAGCTTCTCATCATTATGGTGGTTTTCTTTTATTTGGTTATGTTTCTCACTCTAGTCATGGATTAATCCTCCTAATCACGTGGATGATGTAGAACCGTAGTTTGTTATGTTGTAGTTGAATGATTGTGAACCCTATGTGTTGACTTGGGTATTATTCATGAAAATTGGAGGTTTTTGATCAATTCCCCCAATTTGAGGATAATTAACCTTGGTGAGAGAATATGTCCTTAAGGTTAATTTAGAGCATTGCCTAATCAATGATTTGGGGCCCATGAACGAGTATGATTAGACTCTTAGAGCCGTTCTGAGTCTTTACCCATTGTGGAGTTGATTTGCTTGCCCCAATTGCATAGGTTGGTAGTTTGGTATGCTTCTCTGGGTAGTGAAATTGGGTGGGATATGACAACTCGAATAGGGATTCATATCTAGCTTCGAGCTCCTACGGTTTATGCTAAGTGTGAATCATTCTAGGGTATCACAACATAGGCTCAACATAGGACTAGGGGGAAATCGTCCAAGCGAAGTTTCCTCAATTTTAATTCATTTTTAATTTATTTGCATTCTTGTTTAGTTTATTAGTTAAAACAATAAACCGATCGATGTGCATAGACCGCCCAAACTGATAATTCAAAAAATACTTGCTCTATACTACACGTCTACACTTGATTGAAGGTTGCATTTGGTCTTCGATTGGGGTAGGTACAGTTAGTAGAGAATCAGTGGGTTACACTTTAGTCCAAATGGGTTATAAAATTGATCAAGCACCTTATCACACCCTCCAAAGCGAAGGCTGACCCCTCGGTAAATTGCAATAGGTCATCAGCAAAACGCAGATGCGTTAGACATATTGATTTGCCCTAAGGGTGGAAAGGAAGCCATCTATTTTGAACAACCCTATTTAACAGTTGAGTTAACACCTCTATTGCATAAGGATATGAATTGGTTCCTAGTTACCACAATACAATTTGATTTTCATTCTCAGGTGGTGGCAATAAAACCCCCCGGTTTGATATGATTTCAATAGCAAAACCATATCCGATTACCCAAACCCCAAAATCCAGTGAAGTCCATCTCTTATCCCCTAGAAAGCCCATGTTACATAGTTTAGCCCAACCTACTCAAACAATCCAATCAGCAACCTACACTACATAGCCTCTTAAACTCTCATCGGATCCCCTTCACCACCAATTGAAACCCGACCCTGCATAAGCAACACCTTGGGATGGTAGTAGAACCCAAATATGTGGGTACCCGACCCGACCCAACCCAGTCAACGCGGGTAAAACCTACTTTGACGGATTGCGGGACGGGTTCAGGTTTAAACCCGCTATACTTTTTGCGGGCTGGGTTGGATTTGGATTTAGCCATATCCAATCCGTAGGTACCCGCACTCAAGTCCATACCCCTCATGACCCACAGAAACCTTAACTAATTAACTAAAATTTCTAAACTAATTCCTCATACGTTCAATTAATCATATTGTTTGTGGATGTTTATCTTTAATATTGAACAATTAGTATTAATGATTTGTGAGTTAGTGTGTATGTAGTATACAATATTAGTGAAAACTAATGTAATTGCATCTTTGTACATGAAACCATGGGTACCCATGAACCCGCGGATACCTAGCGGGTTGGGTTGGGTTTGAGTTTTCCAAATCCAGTGGGTTTTACCCCAGATTTTTTGGTGGATAAAGCCATGGGTTTGGGTTTGGTATAACCCGCCCCAACCCGACCCATTACCATCCTAGCAACACCGACTAGATTCTAGTTCGACGAAGAGAATCAGGGTGAACACCCACTTCTCGACTCACGACTCACCCTCCCAAAGTCACCGTTGTCCTAGAATGCCCTCCCTCTAGCTCTCTCATCATCGACGATGAAGGTCCACTAGGTTTAGTGAGTTGGCGATGGCTAGGTCGACTTTTGCGGGTTTGCGAGTCGGAATTGGGTCGACCATTCAGGATGTATTGGGCATGGTATGGGTGGATTGACTAGGCCTTATTATCTTGGGCTGGTCCCTCAATTACGACACCTAAAACTCCTTTCAGAATGCAAAACGACTGCTAAAAATCTAGTTGGGATTTCTAACCCATTGACTGATGGCGAAATTACATCCACTAGAGTTATTAGTAATAATGGGGGAAGCTCCTCTCATGTGAATTTTAATGTGGGTACGGTGGGAGACGTCAAGTCGCCATTCAGTCTAGGCAATAGTCTACGCCAGATGAGGATGGCCCGATTGCTCGTTAAGCTTGGTGAAATTCTTTGACTCCTTTCCATGCAAGGAAAGCACTGCCCCACCACTTCGATGACGATTTAAGAAAATTATGTCCTTTTTCCCATATGTACTTTTGGAGTGTTCGCAAAAAGGAGTAGAGTGCACATTAGATTGGAAGAGTCGTCAATTTGCATTTCATCATAATTCATTCTGGAAGCTTCAAGTGCTTGGATCCGGGCGGGGAAGGTTCCATAATAACGAGAGTTGTTCAGATTGGAGGATTAGTCCAGGTGTCAGAGCGCAATTGGAAGTCTTGCAAGCATAAGCAGTGACCTCGAGCTCTCATTATCGTCAACACGTGGAAACAATTCTTCTTCATTGATTCGAGTCGAGAAGTCACTCGAACTTCGGGGATGGAATTCTTCAAAGGGGGGGGGGGGGAGGATTGATGCATTCATGCATCTATGGCCTACGTTGTTATTTCATGAGTACTGTTTAGAGTCTTTCGGTTAATTAATTATGGATTATTATTATTGTTATTTTAGGTTATTCGTATCAGTTCTTGTTTAGGACTATTATTAACTAGTGTCTTATTGAGGTAGTTATTGTTTGCTTGTTGGGTTAGGATTAGTTTACCTTGTTCCGGAGGAAAAAGGTTTATGGGATTACTCTCTACGTTTTATTTATCAAGAAGAATAAATTAGTATTTTTCAGTTTGTTTTAGTAGTAGTAGTAGTAGCAGTAATGCACGACGCGTGAACCGATCATGTGTCACCAACCCTGTGATTTTTCACATAGATAAGAAGAAGAAGAAGAAGAAGAAGAAGAAGAAGAAGAAGAAGAAGAAGAAGAAGAAGAAGAGTGGAGGAGAGATGGCTACAGTGGCAAGATTGAGATTCCTTTTAGAGTGAGATGAGAGAAACAAAGAGGGAAAGTAAGAATGGAGGAGATAGAACGAGATTCAGATTCCTCTTTTTCGCTGAAGGATATTATTTTGTTTATTTTTTTTTTCAATTTTGACATTAACAGCAGCGTATGGGGGGATATGATTTTTGGGGTTTAAACTGGATCAAACCGAAATTGTTCGGTCCAATTTCCGTTTACCATCCAATTTACAATTCGATTTATGTTTTCAGCAAAATTCAAAACAAAAAACCAAATTAATCCAGACCAATTTAACCGGATTAAACCGTTTTCGACTCCTAAACCAGAGTTGCATATTGAAGAATACTTATTTTACTAATAAATTAAAATAGATCCAATGGTTCGCGTGCGCTCCGCTGTACTACATCCGACGGTGCCTACTGCCAATTCTTCATATTCGGCTCGCCCACTGTTTTATGGGCTATTTTTGTCCCAATAAACAAAGCCGAGCGCGCAGCCTACCCCCAATTCTTCATCCTCCGTCAATCCGTTGAATACCAGCGAATCAGGAAACAGAAAAAGGTTTGTCATTCCTATCTGATCGCCTCTGTTCTTGGAAACTTAGTGGTGGCCTCATTTGGAGTTCATTGTGGTAGCTGGTTTGATCGGGTGTGAGTTCGTCTAAAGTTGGGTGCTTCGGCTGAGGTTTTTGATCATCGTGTTGGGGTATTTGTTGGGATGTGAATTGCTTTCTACGATTTATGTTAGATGGGTTCAGATCGTGTATCAATTCTTGAAATTGGCGATCTGAAGGTGGAAGAAGCTGTTTGGCGTAATTGCGAGAGAGCGAAGTTTTGTGCGGGTACTTCTTCCTTCCATGTGTCTTGAGATTTCTGTTCCAACTTGCATCATCTTTTATCCGCGACCTTCCAATTGAAAACAGAATAGTATTCGCTGAGGCTTAGTGATAGATTATTCGTCTCTGTAGGACTGGTTGAGTAATCTGTGTTTTATCTCTAGATACAGACAAGAAACTATTGTAGGCTTTGAGCAGGTAAGAGAACAAATGGTTATCTTTATTCCCTCTCTAAGTCAGGGCGAACCTTTTCATTCAACTTGCTGATTACACCACGATCTCGGATTGGGAACTTGGCTCTGGAGCTTCTAAAAGCTCCTATGTTGTGCTTTAGTGGTTTAGAGAAGGTTTATTATTAACAACATTGTGGAAGTTTTTCGATTGGATAGCTTCGAGCATTTAGGCATTGGAGAGCGAGAAACATGCTGTTTCTAGACTGTTTGGATTAGTGTTATTGTATCATAGTGATGCAGTTCGAATTTGTAGAGCTTTATTTTAAGGTTATATAAATGAGGGACAGACTACTTAATTCGTGAAACTGCTCTTTAACATATCACTTTTCTTTGGTGTCATGTCTGAGTTTGAGAGGTCCCTTGAATCTTTAGCCCTTTGGTACTTACTTGTGGTCTGATTGTATTGTCGAAACAACTGTCGCTTTGCACCCCCAAGTAATTAGAGTAATTATTCTCGTTGCTAAACTTTGAATATGCTAAATGGTTGCACTCTGGGTTCTTTATTTATGTTTTTGGTATTCAATTCACAATCCGAAGTTAATTTGTTAAACTTAGGAACGGCATGGCAGCAGAAGATGTTGATCTGTCAAGTTTGGAATCTCAGATAACGGAAACTAATGAGACATGGATGCAAGAAATGGAACGGCACCAATGCCAAGTTGATACATTGCAGGAAAAGCTTAAAGAGGTAAAGGCTTCTGTACAGGGGTCCGAGGAAGATGCCAACAAAGAGTTGAATGTTCTCTGGCGAAGAGTGAAAACCACTGCAACATTACTGGCTTACTTGAAATCAAAGGCAAGAGTCATGTCCCTTACAGGTCTTGCTCCGACATCATGTGGCATCAAAGAATTAGGTGTTGGGCTCGTTAACAAGGATGGTGTATCTCTCTCAAGTTGGTCTAATGATGTTGACCTATCATCCTTGGTTATTACAGATGAAGAAGAAAGTTTATGTAGACTCAGTATCCGGCAAGGAAACTGTGATGAAAAAGATGAAGCTTATATTAGGGAAATGGTGAAGTCCATAGAGATGGTAACTGGTGTAATGGAAACTCTTGTTAAAAGGGTTATATTTGCAGAATTAGAAACTGCAATGGAGAAAGAGAAAGTGTCCATAGGCCAGGAAGAAATTAGGAAGAAGGCAGTTCAAATTGATGACATGTCTTCAAAACTGGAAAAGATGGAAGATTTTGCTTTTGGGACGAAAGCTATTCTGGAGGACATGCAGCAGAGGATAGAGAATTTGGTTGATGAGATATCTAGACAGACGCAGCGAGCTGAAGAAAATGAACAGGAGCTTTCTCGGGTGAAAAGGGACTTTGAGTCCCTGAAATCTTATGTCAGCAGTCTCATGAGCGTGAGGGAGACACTTCTGTCTTCGGAGCAGCAATTTCAGACAATAGAGAGGCTTTTCGAAAGGTTAGTGCAAAAATATTACATTAGCCTTCTTTCCCTTTTCTCAATCTTGATGTTATTGTCCTTGAGGTACCATTTGTCTCTTGCCTAGGTGGCTTCTAATGTATGTACGTATTTTTTGAATTTTGGCTGGCGAGTAGATTGGTTGCCAAGACAACACAATTAGAGGGTGAGAAAATGCAGAAGGAAACTGAAGTTCAGAAACTGATGGATGAAAACGTGAAGCTGACAGCTCTACTGGACAAGAAAGAGGCTCAGTTGCTGGCCATGAACGAACAATGCAAGGTAATGGCCCTCGGCTTCCCAAATGTATAAACGGACTGTGGTTTATCTCATTCGTAACTCTGGGGCACCTCTCCTAAACCACGGTCGCTGCTTGCTCCCGACTGGACTGCCAAACAAACCCTGAGAATTCAGTAGTTGAGTGACGGTGGTTGCTGGATGCGGATAACAGATCTGCCTCCTCCTCGCACATATGTAACATTGTCGAGAGCTCACTGAACTTCTGTACTGCCCATTCTTGTGCCGCAGCAAAAGGTGGACTAAAAAATGGAAGGTAGCAAAAAAAAAAAAAAAAACAAAACCAAACCAAACGCTAAATGGTGTGTAAGGTCTCCATACTTGATTGTGAGTCTGATATTAAGTCGAATGTTTGATGAGTTTGACGCTTATTTTACGGCAGAGCTATTGTTGCGTTTCTCTTCAACCCTTCTGTTCTGTTCCTTTTTCACTTTGCTACCGGCAGCTGCTACCGGGCGGCAGGTTGTCCTATACGGTATCTGCATTAGTGATGAACACAAGCTATAAATAGGTAATAGAGATTAGGTTTCATCTAGATAGTCATAACTATTCATATTTTGACGATAATAGCCACTTTTTTAAAAATATAAAAAATAGTTACGAACCAATAGTGAAAGTTGAACTAATGGTTATGGTTTATGAGACATTTTTTTGTCAAAATTATGTCAGGTGAAAAATGCTTTTGTGAAGTAATTAAATGAGAAAAAAGAACAAAAGGATTTAAAAAGCCATCCCCTTGACTTTCAACCATGGATTACGAAACCGTTCCGGACATCAAACAGGAATCGTCTTTGGCATGGTAAATCGTGGTACAACCATGGTTGAACCGTTTCCTATCGGTAAATACCGGTTTTGGAATAAAAAAATTATTTTTTTGTTAAAAAACCGTACCGGCAAAATTAGGGTACCATACCGGGAAAATACCAGAATAAAACCGGATTATACCGCCTAAGAAACTGTAAAAGAGTAAATATACCGGAATAAAAGCTAAAAAAAACAAAAAAGAATAAGGACTTTTGTCATGTCCCCCACGCCTCCCAACTTAGGTAACCAGTTCGTGGAGCGGGAGCGAAAGCGAAAGCGTGAGAGCGTCCATATTATAAATTTTCAATAACGAGAGCGTGATGAGAGCGCTATTATAATATTATTATAATTATTTTTTATATTTACAATGTAATTAGTATCAAAATAGTACATACCATAACAATAAATAAAATTAATATTGAAAATCAGAATGATGAAAAATGGTTGAATTCGTTAAAATATAACTCTACTATAAATATTTAAAAATCATTTCTCTGCTCTCCATTTGTCGATTGTGTCATTGTGATTACAAATAATTAAAAAATTAATCATTTAATTTCCCACTTATTTATTCTTTCTTTTTGAATTACTTTTCCCATTATCTCTACACGACTACACCTACCACATATCCTTCACTTTCTCTCTTCCCTATCTAACTCTCTCTCCTCCCCAACCCAAAGCACGATGAAGCTATGTTTTTCTTTCTTCTCTTCTGACGATCAAAGCACTGATTTATTTCTTTATGCATGTAGCTTTTCCTCTATAAGATATCAACCTAGATCAACAAATCCACAAAATATGGCCCTCGATCTCTCTTCTCTCACTGTCTCTCTCCCCTCTCCGCCGACCTTGAGAAGCAAGATAAAGCTCTGTTTTTGCTTCTTCTTTTTCAATTGGAGCATTCCTCTCTTCGCTATGCATATAAATTTTGCAGTAGTAAGAAACTAAGGCTGATTGGATGACTTCTCTTTCCTTTGTCTTTTCTTTCTCACCAGAACCAAAGAAAAGGTTCACCGCTTAATGAGTCGGCGAGCTGGAGAGTGGAGCACGGCGTTGATTGGATAACTTGGAGGCTTGAGGCATAGGACAACGGCCCTGGCGAGTGGCGACAAGTAAAAGGACCGAGTTGGATTGGAGAGTCTAGAGAGACGAGCGACGGACGAACGGCTGCTGGATTGCGATTTGAGGATGCGCCAGTTGCTAGGGGCAGGGGAAGACGGCGAGAGGGAAGACTGGATAGCCTTTACTGCTACCCTAAGGTTTGCCAGTCTCTAAAAAAAAATTATTTGGCCAGTCTCCCAAGAACTGCCGGCACGATTAAAACCGGACGGTATCTCGCGACACTCTAGTTCCACCGATAATACCGGCCGGTACGCAAGTCCTTCGACAGTCTTCTCCGTCATACCGTTCATGGCTCGGTTCCCGGTTTTTCAGGTTCAACCGGCCGGCACGGTAAAGCAGTCATTGCTTTCAACTTGGCTATCATGCTCATAGCCTATTTTGTGAGCAGGTGCTCACAAGGTGAGATGACCCTCCACATCCCATCAACCAAATTGGAGAGTTGAGATTTATTTGTTTTGGAAAAATATAAGGTAGGAAAAAATTAAACTATCCAAACAACTTTTGTGAGTGTGGTCCCACAATTTAATAGATCCACTCACTTTTCTCTTTCTTCCTCTCTCTTCGTCTTAGATAATAATATTGGTTCAAATGTTCTAAATAGTAAATACTTTTTTAATGCGTTTGAATACTTGTTCGATCCCTATGAATACATGTTGATTTATGTGGAATATTTGTTGGGCTGAGATATAAGAATACTAGCTCGACACTTTTGAGTATTTGTTCGACGTTTTGGAATACAATTCAAACGGGTCGAACTAGTATTCAAAAGCTTCCAACTAATATTGCCTTTAAATACTTCTTGGGCGCTTTTGAATACTGGTTCAACGCCTATGAATACGTATTCAAATGGGTCGAACGAGTATTCAAAACTTTTCAACAAATATTCTCATCTCTGAAACCAACAAAAATTACACACTAACGGACACATATTAATAGATATCGAACAAGTATTCAAACGTCTCACAAATGTATTAAAAATATTGGAACAAATATTCTCATATCTGAAGCGAAGAGAGAGGAAGAAAGGAAAAAGACGAAAGAGAAAAGTGAGTGGACATTAAATGAAAGAAATCTGGGACCAACCCACTAACAAGGTATCTAGCTCCTCTACCTTTTTCTTACATAAGCCCATCTTAAAAGCAACTAATCCTAGCCCTCGAAATCACATAGGGAGATGTGGCCTCCAATCTCACCGTGTGAGTACCATAGACAAATTGCTTGACTTCTCATCTGGTTCGACCAAATAATAGGGGACTAATGGCGACAATGGTCGCCCATCCTCTTGCTCGATCTGGCCTCCCTTCACCTCCTGGACGACCCGAATGACCACTCGACAAGGATTTCATCGGAGGAAGAGAAGTAGGAATTGAAAATCGAGTAACCGGAAGAAAATTTTATGATTTAGGATTTTGTTGCAATTGATTCCACCCTCAGTTGATTTGAGAAAACCATATATGTGCTTGATGGAACAACAACAACTATCTTCATTATGAACTTCCTCCTTGAAGAATAACATCTCCATAAACTGAAGAACCTTAATCGCCTCCGCAACCATTTTCACCATCAACCTTTATTGAAACCCTCATGCTCCAAAGTCTATGGGGCGAGAACTCAACGAAAAACATCCTTCCTTTGCTAGGCTTTGTTCTTTCTGCCGCTGTCGACGAGCCTCTATTTCTCTCCGTTATTGTTGAATCTGTGAAGTCTCCGCCACTTCGTCCGGCAAACAACCCAGCAAGAGGAGAATGAATCTGGTGGATGTGTCACTCTTGAGGAAGGTGGCGGCATCACTACTTCGTTGTTCGCCATCTCCGATGAAAATCGGATTTCCTCGACCACCAAAAGGAGGGACAAGCAACTGGAGACAAAACCATGTGTCAGCTATAATTGAATTTTTTATCATCATAATTAATAAAAATTACAATTTATATTTTACAATTAATTTTTAAAATCAATAATATTTTTAAGAGAGAGAGTAGAGAGAGAGTGCGATTACTCGATGACTGAGGGTTTTCGCGTTTTCTCGTCGCCGGCTCCGGCATCTGCGCCGGAGCAGCTCCTTTCCCCCTCTTATTCTGTTTTCTTATGAGTGAATCGAGTGCTGCGATACCCGCTCCGGCTTCAGGGACATTGAATGACGATTCCCGGGGGATCCCATCGAAACCCTAGGCGTCGCTGTTTGGGATCTCTGAGGGCAATCGCCTTACATCTCTCGTGAGGCAGGAGCATCTCGCTGGAAGCACTGCCTGGTGGGTCAGGTCCTGCAGGATCCTCCTCCATTGTATGTTCTGCATCGCTGGGTCAATAAGCTTTGGGGGAGGGACGGTCTGGTGAGGGTTTCGTTACTCTATGACAAGATGTTGCTCATTCAATTGCCCAACCAGAAGGTTTGTGAGTGGATTCTTGAAAATGATCCATGGTTTTGGTTCAACAACTTGCTGTATCTTCGGCCTTGGGTTTCGGGTATTAGTTTTGAGGATTTGAGAAGGAAGGCTTTGCCGATCTGGGTGAATTTAGCGAATGTTCCATTAGAGTATAATGACTTTTAGGGGTTGAGTAGAATAGCGAGCTGGATTGGGGTTCCACTGGGTATGGATCATACAACCCGAATGGGGGATAGACATGGATTTGCTAAAGTTCTGGTAGAGCTAACAGTTGAAAGCGAATGTCCTAATCATGTTCTTTGGTGGCCTCATGATGATTCCTCTATTCGCATTGGAATCACCTACTGTAACTTACCCCCATCAGCCATGTGTGTCACCTCTTTGGAACTACTGGCTCATGCGCTGATCATTAAGGAAAACAGTGGGTGGCAAAGCCAGTGCATAATGAGGAAGTAAGTACAGCTCAGGGGCAGAATGATAAGTCTACACCGGTGAATCATGAAGGAAATATGACTGTGGATCTACAGGTAGTGTCGGATAAAGGTAAATAGGTGGTGCTCTATGATGATGATCCTCAGCTGATGGCCATATTTACTACCCCCAGTCTGGTAGGAAGAAACAAAGTGGCCCCTCAGAACTTAGAGAAATCCTTCCAGGAGGTGACTATGTCCTCTTCGCCCAAGTTACCATCTGAAGCAGAATTTCAAAGGGTAGTTAATGGAGCTAGGCCTCGCATCTGGCTTTCTCAAGATAGCTCTAAAGGTATTCAAGTTTCAAGCTCATCCTTCAGTGTTTTAGGGAAATTGAGTGATCAAGAAGCAAGTAAGGAAGCTAGTAAGATACAGGAAGCACCAAAGAAGAAAGAGGTAACGAAGGATATGAAGAAGGGTGGGGGCAAGCCCCCAACTTCGAAATAATCATTCTGTTCTGGAATGTAAGGGGGTTTAATAAAACCTCCAAGCAGAGGGACTTGATGCAATTCCTAAGTAGAAGTAAAGTAGATGTAGTAGCAGTTCTTGAGACCAGGGTACAGGAAAATAAAGCGGAGGAAGCAGTAGAGGAGGTTTTTGTGGGCTGGCAGAAATGTCTTAACTGT